GACCCAAGTAAAACCAGGAAGTTCTGGTTCAATAACTGAAAGGTATCGGTAAAATAAAAAAAATTTGACTGAAGCACTGAGCTCTATAGAAGAAGGATCTATCCTCAGACTCCCAGCGGCAGGCAGTACATCTGATAAGCTAAGTTGGCAATTAAAATCTCCCCCCAGAACAACATGTCTCTGCGTGACCAGCAAGGCAGTTTTATTTCCCCACAGCTCCACTCCCTCAGAACACTGCGTAGGAGCATATACATTAATCAGACGTACTGCAGTTCCCTTCTATGTTGCATTCACATAATGCACTCGGGCTAGAACAACTTCCTGGACCTCCTGTACCTCCACACTTTGGCTTCCTATGAAGATAGCAACCCCAGAGCATCTGTGAACGTTGCTCCCAGACCAAAAACATTGGTCATTCCAGGATTCAGTCAGTATTGCCTGGTCGAGGGAGTAAGGCAGGTGACATTCCTGCAGAAAATAAACGTCCCTTTTTAGAGTCTGCAAATAATGAACCGTTGCTTCACGTTTAGCCGCACCCCAGATTCCCCGCACGTTGACCGATGCAATAGAGAGCGCCATGGCGAAGGGTGTTTAGTCCGGTTAAGCAGAAAGGTGCTCGAGCAATGAATAGCAGCTCGTATCGACCAAGTCCAAAAAACATTCAGCACTCACGAATTTCGGGAAAGGCCCCATCCCTTGGCTAATTTTGGCTGTTAGCTCTTTGTCGTATGTTTAGCCAAGTTTTCTGTTGAAAAGTCAGACAATTGGGGACCTTTCAAGGAAGCTTACCATGGTGTGACTTCCGGTGCTGGAAGCTTACCATGATGCGACTTCCGGTGCTCTCCTCTTCCTCTTTTCCTTCTTCCAGCCTGTCCTCTCCAATTACCCTCTTGTCAACATTATTCTGCTGCGTTCCATCGTCCCCTGTCGCCTCAAACTCCTCTGCCCAGTCAGCCACAATTGGCTCAGAGACTTCCTCCTCCATCCCATTGTCCTTGGAGCAGTCTTCCTGCCGACTCGTAGATGCTCCCACTGGCAGAGCCAGTGTGGGAGGGGCGGGGGTGGCACGTGCCCCCCCCCCGCCGAATTATACTATCGAAATCCCTCATTTTGATCGGATCATTGGGGTGTAACTAGCCTTTTGCCTGTCCTAGGACGAAAACTGTAATATTTTACGAATTTTTTTAGCAGAGTATAATTGTATCGTGTAAATGTAATAGCAGTGAAGCTCGCACGAAAGAATATCATCAAACACTGCATTTCACTGTAGCACTGTATTAATGGCAGTGAATCTTGCACAAAACGATGTCATCAAACACTTCTCTGAATTTCACTGAAGTACTGTATTAATGGCAGTGATGCTTGCACAAACTATGTCATAAAACACCTCACTTCATGTCACTGTAGCACTGTATTTAACTGACCTTCAATTAGCCTTGCCCATCGTAGGACCGAAGCTGTAATATTAAAGATGTACATTTACGTTTTCTTGTGTGATTGTATTTTTTTTAGGAGTTGTTGCACGTAAATAACATTTTCTTAACTTAAAAAAATGAAACCTCAGGATACGATTATTTGAGTTAATCTCTTGTATTGTTAATGGCAGTGATTATTGCACAAAACTATGTCATAAAACATCTCACTTCATGTGACTGTAGCACTGCATTTAACTCACCTTCAATTAGTTCTAAATCACTGCTCTGATACTTTATTTTCTTCTTTCGCTCGCTGGGGTTATAATCTATTTGAATTCGATAAAATGTCTGGAAAATCACGGAGACATGTATATATTTTATAATAATTTAGAAGCAAAAATAAGACTTACCTTTTGTTTCAAGAGCTGAAGAAATAAATAAAGACACCAAATACACTTTGTTGCTGAGTAGCATTATTTATTTGATTTACATTTCAATAAATAAATGTCAAATTGAAAGCGAATTTGCGTGAAAAAATGTGTTTCCGCTCGACCTGCAGGAGTGTAAAAATCCACCTGCTCATGATTATTAATGAGGGGAGGGGGGGCTCTTTTGCAGTGACTTCACGTGCGGATGTAGCACTGTGCTGCGTAGATTTATTTTTTACTGTTACTTTCTGCAAAGAAACGTCTGCGTAGAGTTATTTATTTGAGTAACTTTCAATAAAGAAACGTCAAATTTAAAGCAAATTTGCGTTAAAAATGTCTTTCTACTATAGTAATGACGTCACGTATGAATGTAGCACTGCTGCGTAGATTTATTTTTGACCGTCACTTTCTTGAAGAAAAAAACCCGTCATATTTGAAGCGACTTTGCGAAAAAAATATTTCCACTCGACCTTGTTCTGCGTGAGTGTAAAAATCCACCCGCTCATGATTATTTTATTATTAATGACGGGGGGGGGGGGTGCGGCATGTGCAGTGAAGTCACGCGCGTTACAAAGAATCCTGGGCTATTATAGTAGTAATAAATCGGCATTTTGCGACCCCCACTGCGTAGCATATCATTACGTGCCAGGGACTCTATGAGATGATAGGACAATAGTCTGAGTCCATAATAGGCAATAAGTAACGGAAAAGCAGTTATAAGTTACTCAAAGAATTGTGCGCAGTTGCGTCTACAGTACACGACTTCCCTGAAGGCATTCACCTTCAGCGAGCGCGATGCCGATCACACACGGTTCGAATTCGACCCTCGATCGATGGCTGCGCCATCGCCACACACGCGTCGAATAAAAAGCAAGGGACAAGTCCTTACCTACTAACAACTCCTAACATTTCTCATTGCTGGAGGGGTTGTCACCTTACCTAAAAATCCTGGCTCCGCCATTGGATGCTCACCCATCCACAGACAGCGCTACCAGCTCCTCTCTCTCCTCCTGCTCCAATAGTGGCGTTCTCTGGATGACTGTCGCTCCATCAACGTCATCAGTTGCCAGATTACGTAGAGTGTACTGCAAAGGTTCAACCATCTCTCTGCTTCCTCCATCAGTAGCCTGGTTTTTATGTGCCTGGACCATATTTGCATACGATTCAGGGCAGTTCCGGTATAAATGGTTCTTGCTGCCACAGAGGTTGCATTGTGCTGGGGCTCGGCACTCATCCACTGCATGGTCCAGCGATTTGCAGTGGTAGCACACTCTTGCTTCACATGCCGCTGCTAGATGACTTCGTCCACCGCACCTGCTGCAGAGTTTGGGTTGGCCTTCGTAGACAACGAAGCCTTTACTACCACCAATGTTGAGGGCGTTCAGGATGTGTTTCAGGGCACCGTCAGCAGCCCTTAACCTCACCTGCCACTGTCTAGCACCAGTCCAGATGCCCAGTGAGTCCCAGACACGTTTGCAGTTTGACAACAGATGGCAATGCTGTCGCAGCCACACCCCCACATCATGATCTGGCAGCGAATCATTGTACAGACAGACCGTCACTATTTTCGTGTCCAATTCTGACAGCAAATGCAGCTTGAGCAAAGACAAAGGCCTCTCACCTGCTCTCTCCTCAAAACGTGTCAGAAAGCGTTGAAGTAGATTGCTGGTCTTACAGCTGACATCAAAGGCCCTGCCGTCTGGCAGAGCTATCAAACAAAATAGGTCCATGGGCTCAAATTGCAGCATCCCTAAACCACAGTTTGCACAAAAATCGAGCGGTCCATAGTCACCACTTTTGGCATGTCCTCTTTAAAGGCAACCCGGATGCAGTTGTGTTGCCTGGTACGATCCGGTGTGACACTTGCTCCCGGCCCACCGCGCCAACGCCCTGCACCTTCCTGGCGCTGTTCGGGCCACGCAGGTTCTACATTAACCTTAGCAGTCTTGTCCTGATAGTTCTGTGCCCGCTGGCCAGCAGAGTCCTCAATTTCTGCAGTACTCCTGTCGAGCCCGGCGGAAGCCACCTCCCTCTACGCCGGCACATTCACCCTTCCTGGTGGCTGCCTCCAGACGTCCTCCGCAGCTTGCCGCCTCCAAGTCGAGACGGACGCCTGAGCTGCGGCGTCGCAGCAGCTTCCACCTCAGCAGCAGTCGACGTGGCTTGATCATCCTGGATCGTCGCGACAGCTCGGCAGTTCTCCATATCCACTCGAAATTTGCGAGGAAACCACTGGCCCGACAGCCAGGGTACCTGCCTCTCCACGGAGATCTTTAGTAACAGGCAAAAGATGTGTTCGCTTTGAAGAGAAACCAGATATTACTCAACCTATTAGCCGACAGAAACCTCTGTCTAGGCTATGGGGTCCTGCCATTTTCTCACACAAATGAAAATAAAATAAAAATAATGGAAATATGTATTCATATGTTGGTAGACATGTAGTTGGATCTGTGCATTTAGTTAGTTATTTAAATCATACTAACATCTAAAACTGTATTCTAAGTGGATTCCTGGCTGGATTCCTGTCTGTCTGGCTGGCGCTTGAGCCGTTATTGTGCGTGCTGATGTCACATCTCCCTCCCCCAGCCACCCTCCACCCCGAATGTGGAGCCCGCGCAATGTAGGAGAAAAAGGGAGGCGATGCAAGACAATGGAGAGAGCAGAATGTTGCGAAACAGAGGAGAAAGAGCCAAATTGGAATAGGAGAGGCGATGAAAAGTTACAAATATTAGAAATGGGGATTACAGAGAGGCAAGGGAGAATGAGATGGTAATGGTAGAGGTGGAAATGTGGAGAACAAGCGTGAGAGATGAACAGGGAGAGAGATAAGGAAGTGGGTGAGATACAATGGAGGGCTGAGTGTAATACAGAGAGATAGGTAGAAGAGGGGACAGAAAGAGAGACAGAGATAAAGCAATACATTGAGAGAAATTGGGATATACAGAACAGAGAAGGAAAGAACGTAGTTGAGAAAGACAAGGCAATATATAAGATTCAAAGTTTTGCTGGCTGGCAGGGAGAGAACTTGCAGGTTCATTTTAATTATTAAAATGCTTACCAGTTATCTTTCAACAATCCTGAAATTATATTCATCACAGGAAATCGGTCCAGCTTCCTCAGTTGCTAGAACAAAGCCCCCTCTTTTTTCTTTAAAAATGGGGGATAGCGCGAAAGCAGTTCCCAGGTACCACTAATTATACAGTCGAGTTTCCCGCATTTGGGGAAATCGCAGGGGTCACCCCACCTGTAGTGCCATGGATATGCCTCGCCCTGGGAGGACCACCGAAATTATCATGGTGCCTCCCCTATCAGGTAAGTATGAGTTGAGGTGCCCCCTCTATCCGGATAGTTACTCGATCCCTATTCCTCCACTCTTTGGGGTCTCAATAGCTCTGCTCTCTCTGCTCATAATCGAATTAATGTAAATAATATTTTCACCAAGATAGTGATAATGGATTAAGCACCCTCGTTTTAAAAGACAATTTGATAAGCAAAGTTGTCACGTATTACAACATCACTGCGCTGAACTGTTGATGTAATACGTGTAAAACTAAGGTTTTCTGGGTAATAGAAGCTCGGGACACCTGGAGAAAAAGTTGTCAGATTGCAGGTTTTGTTTTAAAATCTAACACTTGCTTTTGTGCAGGATCTTCCACTATTGGTGTCATACACTCTAACCCCGGTGTCAGAACAGAGCATCGCTGGGGCTCCAAACATGGTTGTTATTTTTCCAATATATAATATAACGAGTACATTGAAATGCTAAAAAAAGAAGTTCATAAATCACACTGGGGATTAAATGAAACATATTTACATAGAATTTGGAAAACGTATTATTTTGGTACTCGCAAAGGAGGTCCCATGATATTTATATAGTGCTGACACTTCATGGAGATTGTCCAATATTGTAGTTCATGAACGAAGAGGATACGATCAAATTTTTGATTTAAAGCTTTTCGTGACTGCAGTAATTCATATGCTCTTTCAGTAAAGTCACGTTGAAGCGAAACAATAAAATAAAATAAAAAATATAAAACAATAAAAATTCTCACGACGTTTTGACCATAACAGAAACGGTTGTCATCAGGTGCGTCGGTTTGCATTAATGTATTTATTTTTGAACGGTTTTTTTATTTATAAAAAACGTCAGCGCCACGCGCAGCGATTTGGCAGTTTATTTAGAAGGACTAGTCCATCTATGTTCTGAAAAGAGGAGGGGGGGAGACGAAAAATAAATGTATGCTGTCTGAAAGCCACTGTAAGCGTGAACAATCAAATAAGACTTGAAATGGTTAATCAAATCTTTCCAATGATTGCTAAGCCAGAATCCATCTTCTCGGTTGAAATTGTCTCTGTGCTTGTATATGTGGATAGCCTCATGAACGAATCTCTCATGGTAGCCAGATGGCTTACAAAGAACCTCTGTCTTGGAAAAGTCAATGTCATGTGAGCCTACTGAATTATAACAATGATCTGCCACGGCCGAGGTGTTGGTCCTACCGTGTTTAAGGTCTGCTTTGTGTTCACGAATGCGGTCCGAGACATGGCGTTTGGTTTCTCCAATGTAGCTACTACCACAGAGGCAACTTAGTTTGTAGACACCAGGGTACTGTATGTCCGGAATCACATCTTTTACAGACGGAACCAGATCACGGATTTTATGTAATGCGTTGAAACGGACCTGGATCTTGTGTTTATTCAAGATTTTGGAGATCTTTTTTGTGGTCCCCGCTTTGTAGGGTAAAGTGATGGTTTGGAAAGGCTCCTCAAGAGGGTCCTTCTTCATGGTTTGAGTGATAGCTTTGCGGATTGTATAGTCGGAGTAACCATTAGCCTTAAGAGCTTGGTGTACGTGCTTGAGTTCACTGCCTATGTGTTCCTGGTCGGATATGCTTTGGGCTCTATGGTACAGTGTCTTGATGAGAATTCTTATGTGATGGATGGTGGTGGGAATCCGGTTTCAGATAAGCATCCATATGGGTAGCTTTCCTGTAGACAGAGTGGCTCATTGAACCATCAGGTCTCTTTTTCATTAGGACATCCAAAAAGGTAGCTTGCCATCTTTTTCGACTTCCATGGTAAATCTGATGGCTGGGTGTATGGAATTGATGTGGTCGAAGAATTGGTCTAGAGCAGGCCGGCCATGTGGCCAGATGACAAAAGTGTCATCCACGTACCTCTTCCATAAGGTTGGGCGCAGAGTGGCAGTCTGGATGGCGTCAGTCTCAAATTTCTCCATGAAAATATTAGCTATAACCGGAGATAGGGAGGAGCCCATTGGGGTGCCCTTAGTTTGTTTGTAGAAAGTTCCATTCCAAGTGAAGTATGTATTGGTTAAACAGTGTCTCACCAGGGGGGTACCTCAGTGTTTAGTCCTTGATGAACCAAGTCTTCAATGATTGCGATGGTGTCAGGTACAGGAACCTTGGTGAATAAGGAAACTACATCAAAACTGACAAGCAGGTCGTCTGGGGACAGGGAAATACCCTTGATTGTCGATACCAGGTGAGTAGAATTTTGTACCGCAGAGGTGGTTTTTCCAGTGAAAGGACGCAGGATTTCAGACAAAAAACGAGCCAGTTTGTAGGTGGGGGAGTTGATAGTAGAGACGATGGGACGAAAGGGTGTATCTACTTTATGTATTTTTGGTAAGCCGTATAATCTTGGTGGTCTGGCAGTAGAAGGTTTCAACGAAAACTGTTTAGATTGATCAATTAATGCGGTTGAATCAGAAATTATTTTGTTGGTTTGTGTGACGAGGCTGTTGGTGGGATCTCTTTTTATTTTTGTATTACTACCATCATCGAGTAATTCTTTAATTTTGTTGTTGTATTCCATTTTATCTATGATGACAGTAGAATTACCCTTGTCAGCTGAGAGGACTACAATATCATCCCTCTTTTTTATTTATATAATTCAAAACGCTCATCTTTCCTGAGGTTGCTAGCTGGCATCTTAGCGTTTTTGAGGGTTGTAGCGATTTCAGATCTTGCTACGTCTGAAGCGATGTGACCCAGGCCCCTGAGAGCAACGTCTACTTGGGCAATTATATCATTAACCGGTATGTGTTTAGGTGTGACTGCAAAGTTTAGACCTTTAGCTAAAACGGATTTCAGACCATCGGAAATAGAACTGTTACTGCGATTAATTACGACTTTGTTAACGTCTAACTTTTTGGTGTGTGGGTCCGGTCTTTTGTTGAAGAGGAGGTTAAATTTGGAAATCAGGTTGTCCTTTCATTTGGTCGACACAGTAGCAGCTGAAGAGGCAGTCATATTGTCTACATGTTCTCAATCCGATGTGGACATTGTTGCCGTCAATGATAAGTGTGATTTGTAGAGTGTCTTGTCTAACTGATCTAGTTCGGTGCGTATAAGTCTGATTTTTTCTGAGTTAAGAGCTAAGCTAGTTTTGAAAAGAATTCGTTTTGCATTAAAAGACGTTACAGCAGCAGAGGTCAGTGTAAATGCGATTGGTATTACCCAGAGTCGAAGTATCTCTTCAGAAAGGTGAGAGATTCGATCAGCTGAGCCTTCTTATCCCGGAGTATGTTGAAGGATCTTAAAGTTAAGTGGAAACCCTCCCAGTAGAGTTTTTGTGCCAGTTAAAAAGGGTAAAACCTATTACTAAATAATGTTTATGATAATAAGAACGGTGCCTTTTTATAGTAGTGGCATGTAAAAAATGCAATTACTTCCTTAACTGAGGGTAAACCCTCTTAAATGGCAACTTCATCTTAAGTCAACATTACCCAGAATGCTATGGAGAATTTTACTCGTAAACTGTACCTTAGTTAACAAAAATTTGAAATTTCCAAAAAAGTGTATATTTTCGTAACGTGTTATTTGAAGTTTTTTAAACGACAGTGTTTATTTTTTTAATCATTTTGAAGTATCGCCACGTAAAAGATTTATAATGCCCATAGAGTAGAGGTACAGGGTATTTGTTCATATAGGGATAGTGGAAGCAGGCCAACTCATACTTACCTGATAGGGGAGGCACCATGATCATGTAGGTGGTCCTCCCAGGGTGAGGCTCATCCATTGCACTGCGGGTGGGTTGACCCCTGCGATTTCCCCAATTGCGGGAAACTCGACTGTATAATTTGTGATACTGGGGGACTGCGTTCGCGCTATCCCCCGAATATTTAAGGAAAAAATAGGTTTGCTGTGCTTTATGAATATCGATAAGATCTGTAATCTCATATGAATCTTAGTCCCTAATCACTCTCTCCCTAATCCCTCTCGCCCTAATCCGCCATTAATGCAACTGAGGTTCTTGCGTCCGGGGGTGGAATTCCTTTCCAGCTCAGACCCTGCTTGCTTGCCCATCGCCATATATATATAGCCTTGTTGTAGCTGCTTTCTCGCAAGTTCAACAGTTCCACTGCTGGATTATATTTTTCCGCCTGAGGACGACTGCTTGTGTTGTGATCGACACGTCGTGATTTATTTTATTTCATACCTACGTGGCTTTACCGAAATAACCAAAGAGTATGGATAACACAGTCAAATTATCCATAATAGAGGTTTGTTGGGTGGTTGCCGGGTTTAACGACACATTTATATATTGACGAGATCTAACCCAAAACACCTCTATTTTGGATGATATTGGTCCCGAAAGCCTACGTGTAATAATTAAATTATTTTTGATTCAGCCTTGCAAACCAGATTTGTTGGTGATTGGCCAGTGGCATGGTGAAAAGCTGATCATCTTGCTGGTTTAACACGCAAAAAATACTGTGAAAACAAATTCAGCGCAATTTACTAAACACCTTATGCTTTGCTGTCACAGGCTATGAGTTATATCGGTTGATAATAATGTTTATGAAAATAAGAACGGTGCCTTTTTATAGTCGTGGCATATAAAAAAATGCCATTACTTCCTTAACTCTTAAATGGCAACTATATCTTGAGTCAACATTACCCAGAATGCTATGGAGAATTTTACTCGTAAACTATGCCTTAGCTAACCAAATTTGAAATTTCCAAATAAGTGTATATTTTCGTAACGTGTTATTTGTAGTTTTTTAAACGACAGTGTTTATATTTTTAATCATTTTGAAGTATCGCCACGTAAAAGATTTATAATGCCCATAGAGTAGAGGTACAGGGAATTTGTTCATATAGGGATAGTGGAAGCAGGCAAACTCATACTTACCTGATAGGGGAGGCCCCATGATCATTTATGTGGTCATCCCAGGGTAAGGCTCATCCATTGCTCTGCGGGTGGGTTGACCCCTGCGATTTCCCCAAATGCGGGAAATTCGACTGTATAATTTGTGATACTGGGGGACTGCGTTACCCCCCGAATATTTAGG